ACATGAACTCATGAACACTACCCAGACATTAGTTGTCTAACTTGAACCTAAGACACTTGTAGCCAGTCTCTGCATTCCCCTTATTCCACAATAAGGGGAATGTCAACACAGACACCTGTCAACCNAACTTGAACCTAAGCCTATCTCTGCATTCCCCTTATTCCACAATAAGGGGAATGTCAACACAGACACCTGTCAACCTGCACTCTGCTGTTCCTCAGCACCGCTCCCCCTCCCTCCCGCTGAAATTATGAATGAAAAGTGTATAGTAATCATAGATAACAGGGCAGGGTCCGTGACAGTTTGTTTTCATCTGATTTCAAATAAACAAAGTCTTGGTTTTTAGAATGTTAAACTCGTTTTGCCAAATTCAGATGATAAATACAACTTTTAAGCTTGTAAAGGCATACAAGCGGTAACTTAATGTCACAGCAGGCATAACAACAGCCGGTGTTTCTTGTGAGGGTTTCCCCTGGAAACAAACACAATACACACAAACGCCTCACAGATTATTTTGCGGTATTTGGCTGCCGAACGAAATCATGTACGCAGCTCGCGACGTAACTAGGAGTCTAGTGGAAGGTATCAGTACTACAAGTAAAAAAATAAAATAAATATATATTCTTTTAATTAATTATCTTGTTTATAAATTAATCTGAGGGCCGCCATTTGCCCATCCCTGGCCTAGAGGCATACAAATTCATGCTTACCTGTATTAGGTTCTCCATTCCACTGGCTGTGTCTGTTAATGAGATCAACTCTTTTTGCATCTGGTCCACCCATTCCTTTACCCTAAGAACACAAAGACAATCAGTTAGCCAACATATTCTCATTGGAAGCTTAATATTAGCATATACATTATATTACATGTATACTCCAATCTCGTTCATTCTGAATACGGCCCATGTGATCACAGGCTTTATTGCTTACTATCACAATATGCTAAAAAAATTTAAAAAAGGCTGTATAGATTCAGGGAAGGAAAGCATGAAATAATAATGTTTAGCCGAGTGGATACATTGCTCTAGTCCACATGAACTGTGCATTAAGGCGAGTGCTATTCATAGTTGTCAGCATGAGAGTTCCACATCCTTCGGGGTGAAACTGAAATTGTATTCTTCTTATGAGAAAGCGGACAGAAAGGGAAAGAGTATGAAACAGAAACACTGATTTATTAAAGTTTAGACTTAGTTCTTCTTTTACGTTAACACACTGAGACTTCTTTCCTCGTGTAAAAAAAACATTTTATTGTGGTTGCATTGCAATAGCTTAAAATAGTACAACCAGTAGTACACTATGACCCCTATGTGAAAGTATCTGTGTGTATAAACATATCTAAATAGTAATTACTCCCATGTCTAACCTGTTATAAAATCAACTTAACGCAGTGTACTGTAACTGTGCCGTAGGGAGTTTAAGGACACTAGTTCCTGAAATGGAACCCCTGAAGTTCGGTTCAGTTCAGGTTATGCATAGGTCTTCATGAGTATACGTGGCGTCTGGGTGAAACCATATCCACCATAGCCCCTCACTGTCAAATCTCTTTACTTGGCAGGTGTTAGGTGAGCCTACCTACAGGCACTGTATACAGTTATTTACAGTGCCTAAAATGGGCCGGTACTCACCAGTACTAACAACTGGCACTTATTTGGTACCGCCACTTCTTAGTAAGTCTAGGTGGTCACCCCTAAATAACACTTTACAACTTTAACAATGTTAAGAGTGTAAATAAACACTTCAGGTTGCAGTTGAAGTTTCATCAGATGCAGCTAAAATGGTAGCCTGTACGAAGCCAGAGCTGCATAGATTATTACGATTTCTTAATGCTGTCGCTGTAACTACGCTGTTAATAGCTACGAAATCTGCCTTCCAACCTAAAGCTCAAAAGCTGTTCAAAAATAATATATCAAAAGCCACTTTCGGTTTAGGCTAGCTGTTTTAGTCTTTGAGCTAAGCTAAGCTAACGGTTTTCAGGCAATAACTTTACATTTATCATATACAGTAGATTTGAGAGTGGTAGCCTATTCATTTTCTGGAAAAGGCAAACCATTACTCTAATCCGATTGTAAATATTGAAGTATTGAAATCAAAGAATTGTTCTCTTATTCTAAAATGCTGAAGAATCTTTTCAGCAAAAGCAATGTCCACTAATAATGATGTAAATGTTTCTCTATTGCTACTACAATGCTTTTGTCAGGCTGCTGCTCATGCTGCTGCAACTGCAAACAGCCGCTGAAACAATTCAATCTCTTAGTGCAACAGGCCCCTTTATGACAACTGATAAAAAATACATGACAATCCATATAGAAAATTACCTTTTCTCCCCCACAGTGTGATTTAACCTCTTCCCCTTCCACACTGCTGAGGGGCCTTTGACATATGAACCCCGTCTATGTTATCTTATTTAAGAAATACAGTGTCATGTGAGCAGGATTAGCTGATGCTGGAAACAGTATATTTAGCCTTCTGAGAGACAGCTGCTGGTGGCCGGGGGCAGATACAGGATGGGTGTTCTGTTAGCACATAGCTCAACTTCTTTCAACTGCCCGTCACAATCACGTTCACATGTACAGTATCTACACATACACACACACATGCTGCAGGTTAAAGGGAAACTGAGAGGATATAATGACCTACAAATGACTTCAAATTCATTGATAGTCATAATGTCTGCTAACTACTTCACATGGAACCAACTCCAGGGTCGAGATAAGGTCCACTGACCATAGCAAGAAGCCGGTGTGTGTTAGAGTTGTTCTGCATGTAACTTTTTCAAAAAAGCCCCATTGGCTTCAAGCAAGAAGGGTGAGCCATTAGAACAGGTGTCTAATGGTGAGTGTGTGTGGGTTTCCAGTTATGCTCCATTAAAGAAGAGATGCTCCATGCCACCTCCATTAATAATTCATTATTAAATGTCATAGTTACATAAACATGTACTCTCGTCACATCTACTCTTTGAGGAATGTAGTGTTGCAGAACACACATCCCATGTTGCTAATCCAAGTGTTTTTAGATAGAGACAGCTTTTTATAATGATCATATAAACGTGTGCCTCGGAAATAATTGTTGACATTAATCGTGACCAAACCGTTTGAGACCCGGCCACTAGCTCGCTATCACCAGAAGCTAACAACAACGATCTCCGGTACCGGTGCGCTCTCTCTCTCTCGCTCGCGCACGCACACAAAATGGCTCGTTCTACACACACACAGAGCCGAGCTTGAATGAAACACCGAGACCCAGACATACTTGTACTGTACTGTAGCATATTATTTTCGAATCAATACTTTTTCAAATTATGATTTTTATTTTATTTTATTTTTTCAAAACCATCTTTCCTCCTGGTCTCTCGTGCCCCCCCTGTCATGCCTCTGCACCCCCCACTTTGAGAAACACTGCTTTACTGTCCTGTAGCTTAGAGATTTTTACATGAGGTCAGCTTGTAAAGTAATACAACTCCCTGCTAATGGCTGATTCTACTCATTTAGTGCTATAATTTGGAAATCCCTCTGATCTTGGCTTTATAAAATCTCTTGGGTAAAAGCAGAAAGGATAAGCAGTGTTCTGATTAGCCACTTCCACAAATAACCCCCTTCCTCCAGTCCAAGGCAAAAATTCCCTGCATAACATCAGGATGTGTGGCTTTCTCATAAGTGAAGACATATTTTACTGAATGGCAAAGGAAGTGGTCTGTAAATGAGGAAAAGTTGAGAAAAAGTACAAAAGCATTTCATGAGAGGATGGAAACTTGGAGCAGGACGTGGAAAAAGGAGATAGCATCATTAACCCCTCCCATCATGCTCAGCTCCTATTCTGCCCCCTCTATCGCTCTCTCACTCCCTGTCCTTTGGGGAAATTGGAGAGGGGGGGCAATGTGGAAAGGAAGGAAGCCTCCAAAATGGCTGGTGAACTAAAGTCACTGGGATAAACAGTGGTTGTAGACTGGGAATGAGAGGAGCCATGTGACACTCAGCCAAGTGTGAGACATGCTGGCATTACAGGCCTCATGCTCTCACACTTTTCTCATTTAATTATCGAGAGCGACGTATAAAAATGTAAAGTATTTATTTATTTAACATTTCTGGTTTAGGCTAGCTGTTGCAGTCTTTGAGCTAAGCTAAGCTAACAGATTCCAGGCAATACATTTAGATTTATAATTTTAAGGTTTTAAAGGTGGGGTAGGTAATTTTGGAGAAACCAGCTGGAGCGCGCTAGAAAATACACAGCTGGAACAAATCTGCCACTTCCTTACAGAGCCCCTCCTCCAACACACACGAACGCGCACATGACCAATGAGGGCACGAGATAAGTTTGTGCACAGATGGAAGGCTGACAGGCAGGTAGGCCGTCCAGTTATTTTAGCCGGGCTGGCAAAAATGATTGGTCGTGCTTTTTACAGCGCTACGGCTTCCACAGATGACTTTTTGTATGGATTTTTTGTCAAAGCACTTAAGATATTCATCGCTATCGGGATGTTAAGAGCATTCCATGGAATATAACAAAAAGTGTATCTCGAGCCGGTTTCTCAAACTTACCTACCCCACCTTTAAGGTTTATTCCTGTTGTTCTAAAATATTGAAGAATTGTTACAGCAAAAGCAATTTTTACTAATAATAATGTAAATGTTTCCATATCAACATATTCATACACTTTTTGTAACCACATTCCTTTTTTCTTTTACATTTAATTGTTTTTATTGCTGTTTTTATGTGTTCTAAAAGTGTGTAACGAAACTAATAAAATCAATCTGGCTTACAACATTGTGCATTTTACTATTATTTAGGTAGAGGCTTCAAATTATCCCAGGGGGTTTTCTGTCTTCTGAATATGTAAAAAGGTCCAGTGTACTCTACTTGTAAATCTAATGTATCGCAACAACCCTGATGATGAGGCAATTGAAACCAATAGGGTCTTGCATGAGGAAAGATCGCACAATCACCGTGTTGTTCTCTGGACATTTCTGCTGTGCTTCTCTGATGATGGATTTTAATGGGCAAAACATCAACTTCACACAATTCAGCCTCCACATCTTAGATAATAATACTTGGCCTGCGAAAACAGATGTATCATTTATTCTGTGACTGGAATGAGTAACCAGTTTACCCATTGTAACAGCATTTACCAGCTAGGGGTTATGATGCTGTATCTCAGGCTCTGATGTTTAATTGACTGCATTCAATATGTATTTTAATATATCCCCTGTATGCCCCTCAAAATGATGGGAATGCACAACTTAAATGATAGTCTTAGCAGTGTTTATGACAGCCTGTCCTTTAGAAACTGTATTAAAATAATTGTCAAATAAAAAGTAATAAAATCATTTCTCATACTCCTTTTTTGTACCTATAGTGTCCGGCTATATGACAACAAATATGTATTTGTATTTGTTTCATCAACCTAAATAGTAAGTTTTGTTCGATAATACAAAATAAAAAAGTCTCAAAGATTAAGACATGTTATAACTTTAAAACTAACATTTTGATAAGTCAATTAAATAAAATAGTAATTTCAGTGATTCTACTGTTTGCAGAGAGTCTGATGGCAGCAGTGAGGCTTGTTTTGACCATTTGGTGACATTAAGTGCTTCTCTCCCAATGGGTTCCAGCTGGCAGTGGCTCACACAGTGGAAAAAAAGGAAATAAACGTGCTTTTAGATGAGGTAGGTCATTGAGAAATAGTGGACTATCAAATACATGTACGACTACAATTTCTTTAGAATAAGGCAAGGCCAATAGGAATAGGAATAGGCTTTAAAGTACAGTAGAGTAAAATAGAGAGATGCCTAATTCAGT